TGAAAATTTCAAGGTAATTCCATGTCTCAATAATAAGTTGAAATATTTTGAATACATCGTTTAGTAACAATATATATAATAGTCTATAAAATGCCCAGGGTATCTAAAAAACAAGCCAAAGCACGTAAGGCAGGTCATGCATTAGCGAATGCACAAAAAGCTGCTCGTCGTAATAAGCTAATTCATGATATCAATCAGTTGTTGCTGCAAATGAATGATAGTGAGATGCAGCTAATATATAAAAGTATTGTGCAATCAAACGATAATGAAAAAACAAATAAAACAATACTGATCAATACAATTGAACAATTGTCTAACGATCAATTAAAAGCCGCAATTCATTTGCTTGATACTATGCGGTATTCTAAAGGACAACATGAGGGTAAATTACTTTCACCTTACTTGCAAGTTAAAGCTTTAAATTTTATAAACTCTTCTCTTTACAAAGTGGGTCAAGATTCAAGTTCATTAATCCAAAATAATAAAGAATTACAAAAAACAATTAGTCGATTAGAACACTTGAATGCTAAAAAGGATCACAAAGTTAAACAATTGGTGGGAAAATTATCACAATATAAGCGTAAGCAAAGGCAACATATTTCAAAAGTGTGTGCAGCTGCTCGTAAGCCTTTACTTGTAAATTCGCAAAGTTTAAAAGCAAGTATATTGGCATTAATTAAATAAAACAAACATCAATATACATCTCAATTTATTAGTATGGCCACACAAATTTCACAAATTGGTCAGATGTCATTTCGAAGCACTGCTCAAGCCATGCAAATAATATTGGGCTTTTTAACTAGAGAAAATTCTTTATCATCAATTTCATATCAATCTATTATTCAATAGAATAAAGAAATTAGCGAACTTCATGTAAATCAAATTGTAGACCAAAGTAATGACTCTACTATTGGAATAATGGTAGATGAGTCAACTCGTGGTGAACAAAAAATATTTATACTTTGCATTTTATTCTGGAATACAAGAATAATAGGCCAGATTTTCAACTACTGGAAATGAAAGACTTACAAAGTTGTAATGGAAAGTCAGTTGCTCAATCTATATATAATACCCTGAATAAATCCACAATGATGTTTAATCTGTGTTTCAGATAACACAAATTATATGAGTGGAAAGAATAGAGGTCTTTGTTCAACAATATAAGCAATACTAAATTATTTCGAATTCCATGTAGAATTCATGTTGCACACATTATAATGAATAACTTTGAAGAGGTTACATTCAGAAAACTATCTAATATTGGTGAGTTTTCACAAAAAGAACTTCCAGCAAACCTTTTGTATTTGGCTTGGGAACTCCATAATGGTTACAATAAAAATGATAAAGATAAACCTATGGGAGTACGATCAGATTATATATTTGCCAACTTTATATAGAATGATTTAAGTATAAGCTAACTAAATATCAATGACCCATTCAATCACGGTGGCTTTATGAATTTATGTGTGCTGAACAATACTTGGAGCGAAGAAATATTCATAAACAATTTACAAAGTGGTTTTTATCTTGTCTTAAATCCCGAAACAACACACCAAAATCATATATAAAAAAGTGGGAATTGTTTGAAAATTGGCTTCATAACCCACTTTTAAACATTCAAATTAAGTTATTAGTTCGCTTTGGTAAAGAATTTTATTATCCAATGGCAAAGTTCATTACAGGATATGATTCTGAATTAAAGATATTTGATCAAAATTCTGCACCAACCAATCTTCCTCCTGGCCGATGTGCCCACCAAATGCCTGATTTTATAGTTCATACAACAATGAAGCTTAAAAATATTGCTGAAGATCCTTATTTATTCTTTGAGGAAGAACTATTAGAAAGTATTAATTTGTTAGAAGATCATCAACTAAATAAACTTGTTCTAGACCTTGAACGTGGTATACAAAAAGCTTTAGAACTTCACCAGAAGTGGTTAGATTGTTGGTTGCATTTACCATTAAGTATTTGTTGCTTAGGTAGAAAATTTGGACGAGAATTTGCACAAAGTTTCGCTCATGTGGTTTTAGGAACACCTTGGTCATCAGTGCCTTCTTTGCGAGAACTCTGCTATATGAAGTTTATAGAATTAGATATTGAATACGATGATTTTAATAACTTTGGTTTATCAGCTGCATTGTGTGATCCTATATTTAATTCTGAATTTCACGAATTTATTCAGAAAAAACAAAAACCTTTAAACCAATTCCCTAAAATATTTGAATTTGTCAAGCATCGAGTTTGGTATATTGTAGTCCATCAGCAACAGGTTGAAGGACTCTTCAATAAATAGGATCTCAAAACCCATCCAAATATGAGTGAAAGCCTTCAACAGTCAAAATTACGATTATCTAGTATGCTGCTTAATGAAATTAGTTGTAATTCTTCCGATTTGACAGAACTTAGAGCAAAGAAACGTCAGCAATTAGAACCTATATCCAAGTCAAATTCAAGTTGTGAAATTTTCAATGATGACAATGAGCGTGAAAAAAGTGCAAACAAATTGTTTAAAAATTTATTTGGGTAATAATTTTTAATGCTCGTACATATTGTATATCGATATTTTAAAAATATGTATATATAAAAAATATGTATATAGTATAACCATTATTGTGTAATGTAAAAAATCTGCAATATATAAAGTTTGCTGATATAGGTTTGATTACTTAATTGATTTATCACCCTAATCGAACACCCTAATGTTCAAGCATTCCCGAAACCAACCCGTACCACAACCCGGTCCACTTTTTTTTTTATAGTGTGAAATTACTATCTTTGACAGATTTTAAATACTATTCGAATGCATTCTTTTCATCTTTAGCATTGCCTATGACATTTTGATAACAAATTCCAATATTATATTGTCATTCTGAATAATCCCTTCAGCAAATTTCAAATATCATTCAAATGATTTCTTTTCATTCTTTGCAGTGCCTATGCCATGTTTGTAACAGAATTCAATATTACATTATCCATCGAAATTACTACCTTCAAATTTCAAAAACTATTCAAATACATTCTTTTCATGTAGTATCTATGTCATTTTTGTAAAAAGTTTCAAGGAAATTATCTCTTTCACAGATTTTAAATATAATATAAATTTTCCATAATTTTCTGAGTTAAAAAATAAATAAGAATTACAGTAAATTAAAGTACATACTATTTTTATTATGCATTTTGACGTGCTACTTTATTATCTATTGTAGGAACACACGTAAAGTATTCAATGGTGATTGTTTATGTCTTTATGATATATAGAATTATGACATTAACTGAATGGATAATTATGATTAAATTTTATGATGTAAGGTTTAATATATACCAGAGGGAAACAGGTTCATAAATGATGTATGTACAGTACATTAAGGAGAGCTTATTTAACGTAAAAATTCTCATTTATTGAGATATCTATATAAGTTAAATTCTCTACGACTAATGAAGGAAGCTCCCTATTTTTCTACTTTCATAAGGAAAGTTTATTACTGTATCCTCTCATTTTAATCGTTCATTTGAATATCGTCCGATACAGCAATACCTACACCACCTTAACTATTTATTAATAATAAAGAATAAATAAATAAGAAGCCGAGTTCATTATCAGTTATGCAATCCTTTATTTTTCATTACTACTTTCATTAAGATATAATTTCCTGACCTAATTTTGAAATACTATAATATGAGTGTCACTAAAAGAAAACCCGAAAATTTAAATTTAAATTTTCGGGTTTTCTTTTAGCAACACTCGTATTAAAAGACCTATGCTAATTAATGAAAGCCTGATGAAACTCGGCATAAACTCTTAAATTCAGTTCTTCTACATTTTAAAACCTTCTTAAATAATTTAAATACACAAACGTGTCCAATTGAAAGAAATTTGTTTGTGAACATTATGAATACAAAAAAAGAGGTTGAAATGGGTTAAATTCATTTTTAAAGAAGTTAATGAGAATTTTTTATTTAAAAATTCAGGTTAGATACAGTATTGTTGCATTTCATGTCAATTCGTTAAGCTGCAATCTCAAATTCAAAAGAATCTGCAAATTTTATTAAGAATCAAAGTACAAAACTAAAAGGAGCCAAGATATAAATTTGATGAATTCATAAAAATCTGCATTCCTGATATCAAGTTACTGGATACCGTCTAATTGTCTAATCTCGAAATTATTATATACTTTATTTAATAGATACATAGCAAAATTTTACATACAAAGTACCGTAATAACCCAAGAGAGCTCAACTTTAATAATCAAGAATATTCAACTTATATATTTTTAGAGTAAATGTATTGAAACTAAATCAAAAATTATATTTGCATTAATTTTTAATATTAAGTAGTGATAGATTGGATCATGCTTTTCTTCGAATCAAAAATCACATTCAGATTCCTGCAATTATCAAAAATAAATTGCAGCCATGTTATTGTAGAAAACTATTATCAAAAAGGCGAATTATGTTTTTTAGCTGCCCGATACGAAAATATCGGAGCAGCATTTTGTCCCGAATCAGTTACGGGGTATATTAGAGATTGGGTATATGTATGATTTATTGTTTGATTTATGCAGGTGACTTACCGTATGATTTTTAGTCTCGTGCATTGTTGTGATTATTGTATGATCCATTGTTGGATTTGTGTCATGATGACGTAGTTTTACGATTAGTAATTGTTAATTGATATTTAAGAGAATAGGACTTTTTTTCCAGGAAGGGTAAGTTCTGTTTTTTCTGCTAACCCGACTTTGTCTGGTTTTTTCATGCTTACCTTATACACTTGTTTATACACTTGTTTATACACCTGTTTTTACACTTGTTCTACGTACTTGTTTTTCATACGTGCTTGTTTTTTAGAAATAAACAAAGTTCGTCTATTATTTACAGAATAAATTAAAGTTCGTTTATTACTTACGGTATATAAAAAAAAAAAAAAAAAAAAAAAAAAAAAGGAAAAAGAAAAAAGAAAATTCTCTTTGTTCTTCTTTGTTGGGCTTTGTCTTGTTGCTATGTTGCTGTCAAATAAGGAATCAGATCCGGTTGTATCAAACGATACACCAACTCAGCCGGACATGTCAGACCCAATGTCTGAAATTTTAGGTAGCAAGCATGAAAGAGCGAGATTAGCAACTCAATGTTTTCCGAAGGCTAAAAAGCAAAAATCACCTTTCTACACTCGGTCTGGGCAGTTTTCGGTTCAAAATCCTGCGTTTCAGATGGGCGGGTTTTCTGCAGCACAATTCGCGCAATTACAGCCTTATGCTCAGCAACCGGGTCTTCAACAACAATTCTCAAACCACCCTATGAGGCCGCAAGTTTCTTATGGAGGTCTTTTTGCTCTTCCTACTTAGGCGGTGCAGGCAGCCTGCAGTTTTTTCAAGGGCAGCACCAGCTGGGTTTCAACCCTAATGTTGCTCTGCCATCTCCAGAGCAGCAGCAACCTTTTTCCCCATCGCCGTATTGGGCAAAGAAGGGCAATAGAAACAAGTGGGCTAAGGGAAAAGAGGTGGTTTGTTACTTATGTGAGGAAAAGGGACATTTTGCCAACGAGTGTAGTTCGAGAAAACATCTTGGTCTGCCCTTTCGTGGCGACAGTGCACAATCGGAAAATAGTTGACTACACTCGAGGGGTGATGGAGTTGGAAAAGATAGAACTGGAGTGTGTGACGGGGAGAATTCACGATCTAGAAGCTATAAAGTATTGGGAGAATATAATAAGACCATTGTAGTTGGTGTTGAGGTGGTTAAAGGAAGGAATTCTGTTGTTTTCGAGAAATTTAGTAAGTTTAGTAGCCAGTCCAACCCCGAGATCTTATCGTTTTACGGAGGAGAAGATGCTTTGGTTGAAAAAGGAGTTGGAGAGATTGGAAGTGGCAGGAGCAATAATAAAATTGGGCAGTGAAATTGTTTGTCTAACAGTGCTTCTAGAAGTGAGCCCCGTGTTTCTAGTTCCAAAGAAGGGCCCTCGAAAGTTCCGTTTGGTAATCGATTTGCGAAGATTGAATCGGTCTTTGTCCCAGAAGTCTTTTGTTTCGAAGGGCTAGGTGGCCTGTTGAGAACAATAGAGAGAAATTGGTGGCTAATTTCCTTCGACCTGAAGGATAGCTATCATCATGTACGATAAGTATTGAAGTACAAAGGATGTTAGGCTTTGTCGTAGAGGAAACATAGTACCAATACAGGGTGTTGCCTTTTGGCCTCAGCCAGGCCCCCTGGGTTTTTTCGAAGATAATGAGGGCCCTAATTGGCAAATGGCGGGCCCAGGGAGTATACTGTGGAAGCCATCTCGATGATGTGTGGGTTGCCCACCCAATGAAAAGTGGATTGTTGGAGATAAGAGACAAGATTATTGTTGCAGATTTAAGAGGTTGTGGATGGGTTTGGGCCAAAGAGAAAGGATGTTGGGCTCTGACACAAACCTTGAAGTTTTGCGAGATGTTAGTGGATACTTTGAATGGTATGGTAATAGCCCCGGAGGAAAAAATAACCTCAGCCATTTCAAAGTTGGAAAAGATTCTAAGGGCTCCGGTGGTGTCCACGAGAGACTTAGCGTCTGTAGCAGGAAAGATAGTGAGTTTAGGGAAAGCTTTTTTGCCAAGTCAGATGAAGTGTATGGAATTTTACAAGTTAATAGATTCCAAAAATCGGGGTGTTTGGCAATAGGACAACAATGTCCAACTTTTAGCGCAGGCAATCGAGGATATTCGTTGGTAGGTGAAAAATTTAGGGAAGTGGAATGGCTGGCCGGCCTGGAAGCCCTCGCAAGTGAGATTGGTGTATATTGATACATCAACAAGGGTTGGTGTGGTATTTTCCAGGAGCACAAAGCTTTGGGAAGTTGGGTGCAACCACATGTCTCAAATGTGATAGCCCAGTTAGAGGCGTTGGCTGTGCTTCGAGCACTCCAGTCTTTCAAGGACTTGCTGAAAGGGACCTGGGTTACCCTATTCATCAACAACAGGGTAGCATTGAGGACGGTGTTATGCGGAGGCCCTACGGACTGGCAAAAGGATATTACGAGGGAGATTTGGGAGGTGTGCGGAGGCTGATATCAGAATTTTCAGTACGAGATGAATTCCGAGCGAGTTAAATACGGCAGATACATTAACCAGAGTTTTGGACCAGGGAGATTGGGTATTAAGTTCGGATGTGACAGCTCATCTAGAGCAAGTTTGGGGAAAATTCGACATAGACAGGTTTGCGAGTCACCTGAATACAAAGGCCCGGAGGTTTAACAGTCTGTATTTTTGCCCGGGGTCGGAGGCGGTAGATTGCTTTACCCAAAATTGGGCCGGTGTAAGGAATTATGTTTGTCCTCCTTTCTGTTTGATTCACAGGGCTCTATGTCATGCCAGGGAGTGTGGGCCCAAATAGTGGTTATAGTTCTGGTCTGGGTCTTGGTGCTATAGTGGCCGTTAATAGTAAATTCGCGGAGAAAGAAAATCGATTTGTCTCTAGCAAGCCAAATAGTTTACCCAGGACCATCGGGAAATTTGGAGCCTTGCAAAAACAGTCAGTGGACCTTGAAGGCGGTGCTTTTGGATTGGTTAAGAAATTGTTGAATAGGGCAGAGGATTTAATGGGTAATTCTATTTGTGAAGTGTATAAGAGGCATCTAGAGAAGGCGCTAGAAGTGTTTATAGGTTTCACTTGTTGGATGGGGTTGCCCCTGTACCCGGCCTCAAATGAGTTGTTGGTAGCTTTTCTTGCTTGGTTGGAGTTGTCTAAAAGGACTTCGGAGATGCCAACCTGTTTGGCGGCAATAGCTAGGGAATACAAAGTAAGAGGCTTAGTGGACCCAACGAAGGATAGTCAGATCTGGATGATTGTCAAAGGTATCAAAAGGACTGCCTCTAAAGGAAGGGCAGAAGCCAAGTGGCCTTGAGACCCGCTAACAGTTTCAGTAGTTAAGAAGCATATGAAATGTTCTCCACTTGGGCAAATGTAGTGTTGTGGGCTCAGGACCTTGCCTTGGTTGCTTTAGGTTTGAGAGTTATGCGTAGGCCTAGTGAACTATGGAACTTGAAAAGGTCTGATGTCATTGAAAGGGATGAGAGTTTGTGAATAAGAGTTGTACAGTAAGGTCAAAAACGGACCAGTTGGGAAAGGGTAAGTTTATTCCAATCGAAAGCACAATGAGTAATATATGCCCGGTTAGGTTTTTGGGTCGATACTTGAGGATGAGACCTGAAACGTTGTCAGATGAGCCTTTGTTTTTGTCCAAAAATGGTGGAAAGCTGTCGGTTGTAGCAGTCTTTGCGATTGTTAGGCATTTTGCGGGTAATGCTGTGTTACAGGGTAGATATACGGCACATAGCTTAAGGATTGGAGGAGCTACGGCGGCCATGAAAGGTGGGATGACCTTGGAGCAAATCTAGTCTATTGGTAGTTGGGTGTCTGGAGCAGTACAGCTTTATTTAAGGGCAGTTGGTACGGCCGAGTTGGGGGTCTCAAGGATAATGGGTTTTGTTTAGCAATGGAATCCTTATATATGGTAGAAAAAACCCCCTTCATAACGATACTCAGCAAGGACCCATATTTGATTTTCATTTGATTTTCATTTGATTTTTTTGTTTATTTGCTAATTGTTTTTCGATTGTTTTTTCGATTGTTTTTCAATTGTTTTTCAATTGTTTCCAATTTTTTGCCAATTGTTTACCATTTGTAACACCCCTCAATGAGGGACAAATTTAGCTGCCCGATACGAAAGTATCGGAGCAGCATTTTGTCCCAAATCAGTTACAGGGTATATTAGGGATCGGGTATATGTATGATTTATCGTTTGATTTATGCAGGTGACTTACCATATGATTTTTAGTCTTGTGCATTGTTGTGATTATTGTATGATCCATTGTTGGATTTGTGTCATGATGACGTAGTTTTACGATTAGTAATCGTTAATTGATATTTAAGAGAATAAGACTTTTTTCCCAGGAAGGGTAAGTTCTGTTTTTTCTGCTAACCTGACTTTGTCTAGTTTTTTCGCCCCCCCAGGCCCTCCCCTAGCAAGAATTCACTAGGTGTGCCCTAGGGAAAGAGTAGTCATTACTTAGAGAGTTTAGGGCTGTCAGGTTGACAGTCTTTTTGGTTTTTTTCATGGCTGTCGGACGGCAGTCATATTTTGAGGCCTTTTTTAGTTTATGATAAGTGGCCTGCTGGGACGGCAGTCACAGTTTTTTATTTTTTGATAAGGTGGCCTGTCAGGACGACAGTCACAGAAGGTTTGGTTGCGATGGGGTTTTTTCCAGTAGGATTCTGGTTTTTTTTTGCCCCACCCACCAAATAATGCCCCTATAGGAGCATACATAGTAGACAGTAGCTTAGGCTCTTTTCATACGATACTTTCAAAGTCTGTATTGTTAGTTTGCACATTAGGCACTTAGCGGAAGGGACAGATAACCCATATTTGATTTTCATTTGATTTTCATTTGATTTTTTCGTTTATTTGCTAATTGTTTTTCGATTGTTTTTCGATCGTTTTTTCGATTGCTTTTCAATTGTTTTTCGATTGTTTCCGATTTTTTGCCAATTGTTTACCATTTGTAACACATTTAGAATGTATTTATAGTAACGTGAATGGCGTAAATTAAAAATGGTGTATAACTAGAGATGGAAAAAATGCGCATTTTATAATTACATGCGCATGAATGCGCATTAATGCGCATGCTATATAAAATGCGCATGATATCGCATGATATAATTTTTTTTTGATTTCATATTTTTCCTCCAGAAAATATATGATATTTGCCAAAGTTTTTTCCCGACCCTTCACATCTTTATGTACATTCATTTTCTTTTCGGAATTTTTCAAAACTTCTGCATTCCTATTTCTTAATTTGCCTGGCATTATACACCTTGGCCTAAATTAAATATACTTTAGTTTTCCTATATAAAATTTAGATGGGATAAAATGCGCATGATTCTGAAACATGCGCATGAATGCGCACGATTGAGGAATCATGCGCACGCATGAAACCCATCTCTATGTATAACATCTTATTAAAGTCTAAATGTATAATCATGACAAATTTTATGTCACTAAAAAAAAGGAAAAAAAAAGCAAACAGTTTAAACCAGATCTTTCCTTGAGCATTATAATTATCATAATTACTATTTTATTTTATTTGGTAACGAATAACGAACTGTCAAATAACTATATAATATTCTTTCTTCATCCTTTGTTTATTAACTATGGTTAAATTGTTGATAAAGCAGGTAATTGACGTGGTTGTCCCAAAATTCAAAAATAAAAGACTATCTACTTCAAACAGTGTTGATATGTCAAATTATTTTCAAAGTCAATTGGACAAATGTTCAAAATAAATTGGACATACAGTATGTCCAAACCAACTTGACATCAAAATTTCACAACACTGATTTCAAAGCTATACCTTAAATAAATAGATATATGACAAGCGATCTTTTTAATTATTTAGATTGAGTAGTGAACGTAAGAAAATAAAATGTATTTAGGGCATTCTCAAGCGCCTCAATTAATGGGTCAAAGTATATCGAAAATGTTTCGGGAATTAAATTTTAATTAACGGAAAGTATTTTTAATCGATTAATCGAGCTTATTAAAGATAAGGTAGTTTATCACGTGAAGGAAAATTTTTAAATAATAAAAAAATAATCTGAGTTTACCATTTCAGTCAAAAAACTTTTTGCCCAATATCACTTTTTTTTTGCGTTGACTTATCATAGTTTATAAAAATTAAAGTGAATAAAGTATTGCTCAAGTGTTTTCATACTTTTATTATTATCGATACACATTTTTGTAAAATTTTCAAAATCCTCTAAAGCAGTGATTTGAGATCTTTATTTGATCTATCGTTGAAATTAAACATCACTATAATTATTAGAAAATCACAGTAATAGTAATGTTTGAGCATATCTTTATAATATCGACTATGAAAACACATCTAGGTTGATGCTTGAGAACACCCTTAATCTTGCATTTTTTGTTCTAATAATTAACTTGGAAATTCGACCTTGATTCTAAATAAGTGGATATTTCCATTGTTAATTTAATGTACTTTAGGTTTATTTATTTATTTATTTGACCAATTGATTTTACAATATTGTTATGATTGAATTCGTAGCATAAATTTACAATTTTTTTGCATTTAATAACAATAAACCACTTAATATTTCTTCACAGGTAGAACAATAAGTCTTTTCGACAAGTATTTTTTAAAACCTTTGGTATGGTATGCAACCTTTCTAAATATCTTCTAAACATTTTCCAAACTTTTAAATTACCTGTGAAAGAGATACGAAATTATTGGAAAGTTGTATGCCACACCAAAGATTTTGGAAGGAATATTTGTAAAAAAGGGTTGTCTTTCTATCTGTGCTTAATTCTTTTAAATTTTTTTCATTTGAATATTACAAACTTATAGAATTCAAATAAAATTGGCGCTGTCAGAATATATTTGCTCAAATTTTACATAACTTATATTTTGATAAGTAACCTTTTGAATTTATTTAAAAATTTAAATAAGTATATCTTGACAATCACCAAACCAATTTGATAAAAATTTTTTATTTAAATTTTACGAAAATTATCAAGACATCTTAAATTATAATTTATTTGTATTTGTTTTTTAATAAACCTTCCTAGTGAGGTCACTGTGAGGACGATTCGACCAGTGCTTTTTGATAGAATTATAATTCTCTTTTTATATGAATTTCCCAAATACTTTGCAGCGTTGACTCAAGGATATGTGTGTCACTTCATTTATTCTGTACAATTCCATGCTTTGACTGGATGTCCCTTACATATCATTTTATGATCGTACTAAATTTTACGACTAATCAGGTTTTGAAAATATTGTGTCGGTATGCTTTATAATGAAATTTCCGAAATATCTAATTTAAGCATTTTTCTATTTTAAATTTGGCTATAAACAGCCACAAGTTTTATTAATTCGTGAATTTTTTTAAAAAATATTTTATTAATTAGCGTTATATGTCCACTAGGAATGGAGTTTACATAAATAAAACGTTTCTTATATTTGGTTAGTCAGTATGACCATAGATCTTTCCCTCTATAATTTTATGGGTACTTTCGGAATTATTTGGTGAAATGTGCATTACATATATGCATGCGTTTGATTTTATTCATTAGATTAAGATAGTTACGGCACTTGTGATCAATTTTATGTAAAACCATGAACTATAACGCTTTTAATTCTGTATTGACGTATTGTTATAATAATGTGATGTCGTAATGCCGTATTGCTGAAACACTGTAATAAAATTAAGAAGTGCGATGAAAGATTAGAAAGATACAATGAACATTGAGAGGGAGCGAGAAGGTTCAATAAAGTTTGAAAGTGGGTATTATTGTATGTTTATTGTTTTTATAATTATTTAAGAAACATTTAAATAGGGTTAATAGACATTTACAGCCATATGACAATATTGCAACACGGAATGTTTACTGCCTTTACAGTATTCAAGATTTTATTCATAATTATGTCACAATACCATAATTCAGTAATTACAGTGACAATTATATAATAATGCGATTTTAAATTTCCGAACTTTGAATATAATTTATTGGTTCATCCGTTCCTGGTTTTAGCGCAACTACGTTGCGCAGTTACCTTATTACTAAAATCGTTAACATAAATTCAAAACTACGAATCGTTTCCACAATTGCGGAAATAATTCCCCTCATCACTAGTCATACTGTACATACGTACGCACTTATCTGTTATGTACATATATAACATTCCTAAAATTGATGACATTCCTAAAACCGAGATATATGCGATACAATGCTACATTTACTATGTATTAAAGTTTTTTTTTTATTTAAAATCGCTAAATAAATTTCGGATTCTTTCTTTATCTATCTTTATTTAACAGATTTAACCTCACTTTTTTAACTTATAAACATTCGAAATGTTTTTCGAATCGCGATAAAGGCTAGAAATGGATTGTTTAATTTATATTAGAAATAAACAAATTCCTTAGAAGGAAAAAAAAACTTTAATTCTTGAATAAAGAAAGCAAAAAAGCAAAGATTTAAAAATCATGATATAAATACAGTGTATGTAACAAATAAAGAACGACGAATTAAGGTTCTATTTTTTGAACAGAAGTTTGCATATGCTCGTTGTAAAAGGGTAAACCGTAATTTTTTCGCACATAGTAGTGTTAGACGGATAATTAAGGCAACTATACTACTTAATTTAACCTAAAATTCAAACAACCAAGACAACGTATCGAAAGAGACGTTTAGATTTGGACGGTGGAATGGTTCTAATGCTTCGGTCGTCCTTCGAGCAATATCACGTGACCAGTCGACGTTAGAATCGATAACTCTACACCCGGAACCAACACGCAAGGAAATCAAGTATCCACAACCTTAGGGATACAACACCGTATTTCCACGATACTGGGGTAAGTTAGACTCACGAAGATATGGATTTTACCTAAAGGAGGTAAAATTGGGCGGCGTAACAATACAGTTTATTTTGAAGAAACAATCAATGAAGATCCACTTTAACAATGGGATCGGGTTAGGGAATTAGCGAATTTTATGCAATGTATTATAGATAATTCAATGAATTCTTATTTGTATCGATTGAATGATGCTTTTTTTAGCTGGGCGAAAAGCCCTTTATTTATAGATAAATTTTACATGTGAAAAATAATACATTATTAACGAAATAAAATAAGAAAATCAATTAGCACTAACTTATCCAACTAATCTGATAAGTTTCTAAAGGCCCTAAAGTCGACAAAGTCGCTTAAGTGCCATTGATGCATTATCTTTAAGAAATGCAACTAGGCGCATGAGTTGTTTAAAGGGAGTTAAAATAGTGTACGCTATTTCGTATTGTAGTGAAATTCTCGAATCTTTATCAATTTTATATCATAATTTATAGCAGAACAAGCAAAGATTTGCATTAATAATGAAAATTTTGTTATTTTGTAGTATTTCACACTATTTGCTAATTTGTAGTGTTATTTGTATTATTTAACTATTCTATACAGTCGACCCTGGATATACCGAACTGCATGTTCTGGAAGATTTTGTTCGGTATAGAGTAAATTCGTTATATAACTTACTCTCTTTATACCGAACAGTTCGGTATATAGAACTAATACTAACCAATAAATTATACTCATAACCGGTCTGTTTCAGAATTTGGAAAAAATTCTGTCATTTATTTTCTTCTTGTAATATTTTGGATCTTATGACTGTATTTTCACAAAGTTATATAATAGTTCATTATAGTGTTGTGGGCGAAATTACCGAAATAGGGCGAAATATATTTCGCCCAAAAGCCTGAAATCCGATAATTCCGAAACTGGCGAAATTGGCGAAATGT